AACACAATCCAATTTGTCTCAAGGACATAAACTACTCAGCCTCTTAATCCCCTCAAAGAACAGCTTAAGAGGTGACTGCCTCAGTCAGAAAGTACCTGCTGGGGAGAGAGGCCGTGGCAAGGGAAGGACTTCTTAATTCTTTAAAAAAGTAGAAACAAGAGGCCACAGTCATCCATGGCTTCCAAGAAACTTCACTGGGTTAGCAAGGTTAAGCTCTGGAGAGGCAGCATTTTAGAGGGCTGGAAGGTGCTGTTTCAGCACAGTTAAGAAGTAATTTCATCCCAGAACTTCTGGATGGCTGCAATTGTGGTGTGGATGCTCTTGAAGTCCTTGAAATAATTGTGAAAGACTGAAATGCAGGGAACCCAGTTATTTTTTCACAGTATTAATGTGAAACCACAACACAGGCTTTCAAGATACACAGGAAAAAAGGGAGTCCAGCAAAAAAGCAACGCAATGTGAAGATTTCTGATCCTGGAGAACTGTGCAGGCCACACTCAGCTGCACCCAAACCTCAGTGCCAGGGTGACTGCTGGAACTGTCTGGTGCAGCCGAGCAGCTCCCACAGCCATGCAGGACACTGCTGCTCTCAGCAATGGGACACTGCCATGTCGTCCTGCAGCAGGATGCCTCCCTGGCCTCAAACACACGAGCAACAGGAACCAAGCAGCTCAAAGACAACAGGAGAAGCACAGCTGTGGACCTGGGAGCTGTGTGACCCTTTCCTTCTCCCTTTGCTGCCTCTCCCCACAGCAAAGTACCCACACCTCTCTGCAGCACGCTCAGTGCCGCAGTGCTGCTGCTCTGCACAAGCTCTGCCCTGCATGACGTAAGGAGCTAAGTTTGGACAGGAGAAGTCCCATGCTGGGCAAACCTCATGGATGATTTTAGCTTATGAATGAGTAAGCAGAGGCATGTTCTCAGCTGAAACCGCAGAAGCATGTGGGTGACATCAGCAGCACACGAGAGGGGAGGGCTGTGCTCAGAGCTCGGCATTGCCCGCGCAGCGCACAGGGATGGTGCTGCACGTCTCACTGCTTCCCTTCAAATCTGTTTTCTCAGCCATGAAATGATGGCTGAGTGCCAAGTTTGAGATTCAAAAGGAAAAAATGAAACGAAAAGAAAAGATAGACAAGAAATCCAACGCACACAACACCGATCAGGAGAATCATGGAGGATTTCAGCTGCACAAAGGCAAACCAGCAGTTAAATGAATAACAAAGCCCAGTGAAAACCTGGGCGCTGGGTCAGGAATGTGAAGCTAAACCCAGGTTTCTGCCTGTGCCATCCCAGCCCCACAGCCCTCCTCCTGCACCCACAAAGAGGCCACACAGCTGCACAGAGACAGCCCTGCTGCCCGTCTCAGGAATTCCTCCTTTTCTGTGCACGGCCAAGCTGTGTGCAAGCTCTTAGCATGTGGGGACGCAGCCCCCAAGGCCACAGAGACAGCAATGCCACCTCAGCCAAGGAAGAACAACACAGGGTGCCCGTGCCTGGCTGCAGCAGGCAGCTCCAGATGGAGCCAGGAGGTCTGGCAGGAGGACCCAGGGACAGTTGTGTCTGTCCCAAAGGAGGTCCCAAAGGAGTGGGACAAGGCAGGACACCGGAGCGTGGATCCCACATCCATAGCCCAGCTGCTTCCAGCTTGGCCTCATCACTCCCCTCTGACGCAGAAATTGGGATCCATTGGGCATTAAAATGGGTAAAAGATGTTAATGCTGCAGACTGTCACCTTCAGCATGGCACCTCTGCAGGCCAGGAGCTGCGGCCGGAGACAAGGCATGGCTCACCAGGGAGGCAGGGCCACCCGCCAGCACCCTGGGCACTGCTGCCCCAGGCACACAGCTGGAGGCTGGACTGGAGGGGCTGACATTGCAATGCAATGAAGCTGACTGAGAGCTGCTCCACACTGACAGGGCAACCAGGTTCTGCTCCCCCACAGAGCCCTGCTCACACCCCTCTTTTGTGCCACCGTTCAGGCTCTGCACCTTCTCAAAAGCCAACTGCATAAAAATGCCATCTCCTTTTGAGAGGGCTTGCTTTCTTACTGCTGATCCTTGAACTGGCTCTCCATGGCTCAGGGGAACAACGAAGCAGAAGAGCAGCAGCTGGCAGGATCAGGGCTGGCACCAGCCTGCAAGCCCAGCATGATCACAGTGCAAAACCTCACCTAGAGCAAATCCACAGTGCTGGCAGCACAATGGGTCTCAGGAGGGCTCAGCATCATGCTTGCCCACAAAAACTGCCCTGAGGACCAGCTATCCTGGGATGACAGCGGGCTCCAGCCTTTCCCTTCTTTCTTTCAGAGAACACAAGGCATATTCACTCCTTCTTTCAATGCAATGACCACATGGAAATTCAAAGTCAAAAGCAAAACAACTTTTCCAGAACTGGCAGCTCCAAGGCTGACATGCTGTGTTCCACGACAGCTCCAACCATTTTGGTTCAAACACAAAGCACTTGCTTGGCAGCTGGATGTGGCTCCTGCTGCCCAATCAGCCCACTTCCAGTCAAACCAGCAGACGTCCAACGTTACTGTTATCAGTGGCTATTTGGGGATCTGGCTCCAGTGAACACAGTGTTATCAGGCTCCTCTGACGGGCAAGTGCTCATGCTACAAGAACTACTGAAAGGGCCAAAGGCCGAGCAGGCAACATGCTCTCATCATCACGGAGCATGGTCCAGCACCCCTCATCAGACTTGCCCTGGCTAAGCGCAGGCACACCATGGAAGCCTACCTAGCACCCTTCACCTATTTCACATTGAAGCCAATTATTTACCCTTCCAAATGAGCGCGCTGGGGGCCTGACTCACTTCCAGGTAAATTTGGCATCACTACAGCATCAGCCTTTGCTGCCACAGAGAAGGAGCTGGCATTTGTGTCTGCTTGCTGGGGACATCTCCCCGTTTCCCAGGCTTCCAGTACATGGGAATGCACATGGACTTGGAGAGGAGTCACTGAGTCGGAGAGAAGGGAAGAGGCCAGCAGTCTCCCACACCAGTTGCCAGCTGCTGGCTCATCCCACAAACCATACACCATGCCAAAGCTCTTATAAACACAACTGAAACATTTTTCTCATTCAAAAATCCAACCCACTCTGGAATTGGTGATAGAAGTGCACAAAGAACACAGTGCATATGGAAAGGGAGGGAGATCAAGAAGTATTATTGACTCACCCAAGTCCCAAGGGAAATGAAGAAGCACAGCTATTCACAAACACACCAATAACTGTAGTAATTAAACCAATAGTTTGAGCAAAGTTGACTATCTACCCAAAATTCTAAGCAAAAGCAAAAGGAATACGAATTCTCTTACTTATAGTCCACTGAACTTGTAAGGGAGGGACAGGGGGTAAGCAAGACCCCTATATACAGAACTGATGCACACCTCAGAGAATAGGGGAAAGTCAACAGTATCCCTAACTCCACAAGTGATGCAATCAGAACTGCCTAGACAGGGCAGTAGGATGCCTGGGAGCAAGGTATCACAAACCCTCCCCCAGCTCCTTCCCACCCTGGGCCCTCTGCTTTAGCATCCTAAACCCCATCAGCGCAACAGACTGAGCAGCTCCAACTTGTTTTCTTCCCTCCAAGAAAATGCAGACACTTGTCAAAAGGAGACATGCCCCTAACTCTCTCCAGACCACCCAGGTCTTCAAACAAAGCTCCCCATTTCACTAAGTTAGGTGGTTCTGGAACTTGCACACCAAGTGGTCTCCAAAAACAGATTTCATCAATTCCAGCCAGCTCATTTTGCTATCAGAACAGTCAGAAGAGAAGTTCAAATACTCAGAAACTCAGGCTCCTGTTTGCACAGATCAGAATTAGGGCAAACAGGTTTTCCTGGGACACCACAGTCAGATAAAAGCCATGTGAGAGCAGTTAGCCAGACCAGATGGGAATTACACTTTCAAAGGGAGAGATTACTTTCTCTTGAACCTCTGTAGATAAGACAGTTCAGAAAACACAGTATTTTTCAGCATATTGAGGCACAAGGAGTTACAGTTCCGCTGGAATTAGTTACGTTTACAGCAGCAAACAGCTCAGACACAAGCCACTCCTCAAACTCAGGTAAAACCCAAGAATACTTTTTCAAAGCAGCCTGATGTGCTGTGTATTTGAACTCTCAGACAGCTCTGAAAGTCACAACCACAGTGCTTATCACTGGGAGTACGAGGGAAACAAACAGAGCAGGACAGACTCCCAGGAGCCACGGCTCAGAGTGAGCAATTTCCATGCAGCTGCTACCACTGCTCTCCAGAATTACATTCTCTGGGAATTAAGTTATGGCACACTTTGGAAATAAAGTGGTTTTTTCAAAAATCACTGCAATTTTGAACGGCGTGGATAAAAAATTTGTTGGATGGTTGCAGCCAGAGTGTTGTTGTCAATGGCCCTATGTCCAGGTGGAGGCTGGTTACGAGTTGTGCTCCCCAGGGATCTGTCCTGGCAGCAGCACTCTTCAACGTCCTTATCAACGACACAGAGGGACTGAGTGCATCCCCACCAAGCTGAGTGGCGCACTTGATACCACAGAAAGAAGGGATGCCATCCAGAGGGATACGGACAGGCTTGAAAAGTGGATACGTGAGAATTTAATGAGGTTTAATAAGGCCAAGTGTAAGATGTTGCACTTGAGTAGAGGTAATCCCATATATGAGTACAGACTAGGAGAAGAACCCACTGAGAACAGCCCTGAGGAGGACTTGGGGGTCCTGCTGGACAAGTAGCTGCACGAGCCAGCAGTGTGCTCCTGCAGCCCAAACAGCCAACAGCACCCTGCGCTGCACCAACAGAGGGCTGGTGGCGGTGGGCAGGGAGGGGACTGTCCCCTGTTACTAGCTGTGCTTACTCTAGAGTTGTTTCTCCTGGGAAGGGAGTGCTTATCGCTCGTGAACCAAGCCGCCTCTTCGGGCAGACGCTCTGAGCCAGGCCTGGTGAAGAGGGTCAGGAAGCTGCACAGCCCACAGGCACCCAGCACCCAGCTCAGCCCCACTCACCGCCATGTACGGCCGGCACCCTGCATCTCGTGTTTTGGCAATGGAGTCCACAAGCTGTCCACTAATGCCGAAGTCACAGAGTTTAATATTTCCATTTCTGTCCAGAAGAATATTGGAAGGTTTGATATCTGTAAGGGAAGGAAATTTAAACTGTTAAGTCTCAGCTGGAGGCTTCCATTTCCCAAAGGGCAGCTGCAGAGAATCAGCACCAATAGTGACTGCTGCACATGGCCCCTGGCTGTGCTCATGACCACCGAAGGTCCAACCAGCAGCAACAGGAGATGGAGTGAGCCACCCAATGACCCTGAAAGCCCAGTATAACAGTCCAACCCCTGCTTGGTATGGAAAAATGTGGATGAGAGGGGCAAGGAATCAGCCACCAACCCCTGAGATCACAATGCAGAATCTGTACTGCTCCCCATGCTCCCAATTGTGGCAGGGCCTGTGCTATTTACACTGTGACTTGATGCAAAGCTTGCTTCAAATTCTTGCCATTAGCTCTGTAGGCAAGAAGAAGAAAATACATTAACTTACCTCTGTGAATGATTTTCAAGTTTTCTTTTAAGTGGTTTAGTGCTTTCACAGTCTAGGAAAAAATACAGATGAAAAATAAGCAGATGTCATGAAATTCCTGTGATTATTCAACTTCTGGAATTCCAAGAGCAGGGGAGAAAAACACTAAATACAAAAAGGCATGAGTGCTGCAAATAAACTATATGATTAAAACGTTTTTCTCACAATTTTTCCTGCAAACAAAAGGTGATATTAAAAGAGGGCAAGTAACACTTCGAAATAGGAAAGCAAGAGATGAAGTTAAGTAATTTCTGACGTTAGTTAAATTAAGTAAGAACTTATTTTCAGCCCTGTGCTGTACCTTTTCCATAAGAAACAAATGCCCTATTCTGCTGTGCCCATTCCCTTGCCTGAGCAGCAGCTCCTCATCTCAGTGGTGTGAGGAGCTGCACACTGATGTGATTTACTCATTCACCACCAAATGGAAGAGGTACTCAAGAAGCCTGATACAGGACAACTAAAAAAAAAAAGTTTTAATTTCACATAGATCAGTGAAACTGATAGAAGATTGACTTAATCATGACAGTAAGACGATGTGAGTTCTGCTGGTAAGCTCTCTGAAGTTGTATGTCTGTGAGGACAAAAAGCCTCAAAAGCCTGCTCCTTCCTGCTTGCATTTCCTGGTGCACACGCTCCCTCCTGCTCACATAATAAACTCTTGTGTCCAAGAGTTTAGGTAATGAGAAGCTCTGGTAAACTCTGCTGAGCCCAGCTGGGGCAGCTGCAGTGCTGTCCCTCCCGACTGCCTCCTTTTGCCCTCCTAGTGCAGGCTCTGCTTGTCACCTGAAGCTACCACACTCTGCTGAGGAGCAAACCACCAACTGGTTTCTAGGCAGGTCTGTGGAGGAATGAGAGTGGATGGTCTTCCTGGACCGTGCCAGAATCTCCTGCTCCCAGACTCGAGCCCAGAGCTCTTCAGCTCAGGGGAACAGAGCGCTAGCATGAAATCAAGGGTGATCTGGTGAAACACACCAGGCTGCTGCACAGGTCTTGTTTCAGTCAGTGATACGTTTAGCTGGTCAGTAGTGTGATGATGCATCCCATATGCAGAACAGCCATCAGTCGTCTTAGACTGGATTTTCAGTCTTGACATCTTATAACTAAGCGTGTGAGCCATCAAAGCAGACTGCCAGCTTCTAAGAAGTGACTGCAGGTCCAGGTAGGTACAATATCTCATAAAGATGCCTTCTGGAAGGATAAGGATGATGGCTTTCTCCCAAGACCTGACCTTCAGAAGAATTTGCCTGTAGCTTCTCAAGAGGTCACAGGTTGCAACTTGATGAGCACTTCCCAACCACTGACAAAGCATGACATCAACTTACTGCAAAGAGGCAGTCTGTGCTTTGTTACAACACATCACTCACATTTTCCTGTCACTCCCAAACCTGATTCCTGCAGCCTTTCACCTTTTGGAGGCTTCACTGAAATAACAGTGGGTTATTTCATCCACTTGGCTCAGCTGTGACTTTTTCACTGGACCAGAACAACAAACTGATTATGCTCCTGCTGAAGAACCCACCTGCATTTTTAGGAGCCTCTGCCCAAGAGGTTTCTGGACCACAGAAGCCCATACTATCCTGCAGAAATCCAATGGGCCCAACAGAGTCTACTGACAGCAGCAAGACAGAGATCTCAGGATACTTTTCAACACTCCTTCCCTCACAGCCCAAACCCAAAAACCTGTTTTGCAGAGCCAGTGCTTACCTTCATATTTAGACAGCCAAGGCTTTGAGCAGAGTCAATGTTACAAACCTCCAGGACCTGATTCTCCACCATGTAATATGTTATAGGAAAGGTACAATATATTCAAGGTTCATTAACACTGTGATGCAATACAACAGCAGCAGCTGTACTGCATGCAGATCAAGTATCTTTCTCACAAGTTAAGAGACCTGAATTTTTCAAACCAGCTTAAAAAAAAAATCACACACACACACACACACACACACACACACCAAAAAATGCTTAACAAAATACTCACAGCTAAAGTGATTTTGCCTAGGATTTCTTCTGGAATAACATCATCTAATACACTATATACATATTTGTAAAACTTATCAAACGAGGTAGACATGAGCTCCATACAGATCCAACAGTCACCCTGGAAAAAGAAAAGAATCTTTATTACTGTCAAGCTTAAATGAGAAACAAAAACCCAGAGAGCATTAAGATATCCCTCGAATCCAATAAAACACAGAAACAGCAACATGCATTTGACAGGAAGGAAGAATTCCATCCTGATTAATTTCAGCCGTTTGATCAGCAGCGAGCCTGAGCTAGTCATTGAGAGCAATGGAGAAATCACCCCTATTATCCACTTCTCACTCCATCCACCAGCAGAGAAATTTAATTGACAAGATCAGACTTGACATCGCATATTAGCTCCCTGAGACTAGATGAACTGATGCCCCAAAAACTGTCTGGTTCTCAAGGAGGCTGATGGCACAGTGAGACACAGCCACACACTGTAGGACTACAGAAATGCCCTGCAGTTTATGTCAACTCTGCATAGGCCAGAGAACATTTCATACTGCATTTGGAGACATAATCAAAGCAAGAGAAAATGAAAAGAAATCCTGGAGGACAGGGAGTTTTGCTGACTTGCATTTAACAGTTAATTTAAATGTGGACAACTATTAAGGCACATCTCTGCTAAATGAAAAGGGTGGTGGGGCACTGGCACAGGTTGCCCAGAGAAGATGATGGCATCTGGAGGTCAGGCTGGATGGGGCTCTGAGCACCTCATCGAGCTCTGCGTGTCCCTGCTCACTGCAGAAGAGTTGGACCAGATGATCTTTATGGGGTATGATTCTATGAAAAACTAAACTAACAATCAGAGGAGAGCAGCATGTCTTCTCACCAAGTTCTCTCCTAAGATCTGTGAGTCAGCCCATTCAAGATGGGGATAAGAAATGGGTCACCACAAAGATTATGTGTGGAAGAATTTCTCATCTCTTGTTGCAGTATGCATGTGATAAACAGCTCAGCCTTGGATTGATCTTAGCTATTTCAAATTTTAAACATTTTCACTCCCATTGAGGACCACTGAAGGCTTTGTATGAGTTGTTCCTGCAGAGCGTAATGCACTTCATGCAGTGTGCTGTTCCTAGGAATACTACACCACCAGGACTGGACTGTCCTCACCAGAAATGACAATCTCTATAGGCTGCATCACAATCACTGTTAAAACTGCATGAGTTGCCAAAATCTAACTGCGAGATGAGGTTGGTCAGCCTGGCTGCCCCATTGTGGTGAGGCACTGTCTGAAGCACTGCTGAGCAGCAGCTCCTGCAATGTAGGAAGTGACAAATAGAGGAGAAGCCTCCTGAAGTAATTATCCCCAATCCGACAAAAACAGACACACACAAAGCACATGGAAATGAAATGAGGAAAAAAAAAACAAGAGCGTAGAAATGCTGGCACTCTTGCAAAGCCCCATGCTCCCATTCGGTGCACCTCAAGACAGTTCTGTTTGAAGCCATGTCCTGGTCCTCACGTCAGCCAGGAGTAATTCTCAGGTATTAATGAGAGAATGAAAAAAGCATGCCAAGCCACAGGCTTTAAGGCCAAAAAAAGGGATTTTGCATTCGCTCAGAATGACCTCCTACGAAAAACAGGCCAAGAAATCCCATCCACTATCCATGGCATCCATCTCCAGACCAAGTGCTTGCTTTAGTGGGAACACAAAAGGCTAGCAAAAGGGCCAGTGGGAATAAAAGGGGACAGTTTCAGTGGTGTAAAAACATCCTTCACCTACACAGTGGTACCAGCTCACGTCTCCCACACAAGGGAAAAGGCTGCTACAAGCCTGAGCCCAAAGAACACACCTGAAACAGAGCAAAAGGCACTGATCAAAAAGGCACTTTGCTGAACGCAGAGGCTGGGACACCACCAAGAGGCAAATGCAGCACAGAGAGAAGAGAACACAGCCGTTCCAAGTGATTGACACAAGGCAGTTGTGGAGAGAGACATGGAGAAAGGAGAGCTCAGGATGCTAGAGAAACATTGGTTACAGATGGATTTGGCTGAGGACCTGATCTGATTTAAATTGTAGAAATGAATTTGTTCCATATGCAGAAGTGTTTCCTTTTCAGCATTGGCAACAAATGCGAAGTGCAGTCGTGGCACTTCTGTATCATCAAGAGTGGCTCAGAGAAAGTACTGTGGATGCAGTGTTAGTGATGCATGTGAAATCATGTGAAATTGGAACCATACCAGACCCTTACCAACTATCCACAGTGAAAGCAAACGACGACTCTACTGCCCACAGGATCTTTCAAGACATTGCTTCTGCAGCCCCAGCTTAAAAACTGTTAGTGTGCCACATTCCTGTGACTGTACTGAGACTACAGGGAACTGGATTCATTTGTGAATTCAACTGGCTGCCCTCAGCCTCACGTTTATGTCCAACTGCACTGGTATGTGAGCACCCTCAGTGGCCCAGGTTACCAGGCTGCTGTTTGTGCACGAAAAGCCAATTTATGCCGACCAACAGGCAACCTTGTCAGAGCTGTTACTGTAACAAAAGCTTCACTTTGTATGTCTGCAGGGCTGTGGTGTGCATTACTGAACACTCCACCATGTCTGTGTGTCACCACAACATTCAAAATGATTGAACAAAAACCAAGACATGGTTTTGTCCATCCCCTGGAATATATGCCATACAGAAACCCTGGGTGTGGACATTTATCGACCTGGCAGTATAAAAGTTTACCTGATCAACATGAATTCACATCAGCAAGATTAGTGAAGAAAGATGAGAGAGCTTTTCAACTATGTAGCTACTTAAAGGCTGGTGCTAAAAGTCAAAATCCTGCAGGTTCTCCTCTCTTCCTGTAACTTGAAAGAACCCACCTACAGGCAGAGCTGAAAAACCTCACTGAGAACAAAGGTTAAGACTGGCAGGTACAACTGCATTTGGTTACCCAGCTCCTTTCTTAGCAAAGACAGAGAAGTGCTGATGTGCATGGCAAGCTTCTGCTTCATCTTGAGTTGTGAGAACAAAATTATCTTAATGAAAGTTTCTCTTCAATTTATGTTCCCAGGTCAGGTTGATTTCTGATTATAAAACAGCAAACAAAGAAATTCAGCTTTTCTCTTCCACCTATAGCTAGTCTTCCAAAAAATATATTTTATTCCTTTTCAAGTACTTAATTACCAGATGCTAGTGCACTTCTTGTAGGCACGTTGAAAAATGTCCTTCACTACCAATGGTCCTGGACATACACTTAAAACTGTGTTTTTACCAGCAGCTGGGCTGCTTCCACTTCTGAATTGTGTGTTCTTAGTTGCCAGCCCACAGCCAAATACATTACAGAGATGCCACTGAGCTGGAAAGCAGTTTGGCAGGAAAAGGACCTGGAGGTCCTGGCAGACAAGATGAACACAAACCAGGCACAGATAAGCTTGATGGCATCCTGGACTGCCTTAGGCAAAGTACTGCCAGGAGGTTGATCCCTCCCCTTGGCTCAGCACTGGTGAAACATTCCGAAACAGTTGAAGATTTCCACGGTCAGGTAGCACGTCGAGGACCTCCACAGAGGTGCTACAGAGCAACTATGTCACATATGGAGTCTCAGTCCAATGAAAGACTCATCTTCAAGGTACCAAACACACATGAATATGTTGAAATAATAAGCACTGCAGATTTAAGAGCCGGCCTGGATGTTGTGTATTCTGTTGGCATTGGGAGACACTTTTGAAAGTCTTTGTAATGACTAGCACTGTTCTGAATATTATACTTATATTAACAGAGATCTTCGGGACAGAGGGCAACACTGTCTCTGACTGAGAATGCAGGATACTGGAAATATTTATTTTTTTTATTACTTCATTTTCTAGTGGTTCTGTCCTGTCATAGGAAAGTTAAACTGACTGTCACCCTCTTTGTCTGAATGCTTTTGTGTAGTATAAAATTTCATTAAACGTAATTGCTTTCATTCTTCCTCAAATCTTAACTTGTCACCAATAAAAAAGAGTTGAGAGTTTCTAGAGCAGTCTGCAAAGGTCTTTTAACTGTTGAAAATTCCTAGAGATCCCATAGATTTAAACAGAGTGTTTATTGGACAAAAGTCATAGAGCATGGCTTTAAACACTACTTTCAAGAGTTGGGAAAAAGCAGCTACTGAGATGTGGTGGGTGTTCTGTCCCTGGAGACTTTCAAGCAAGGCTGGATAAGGCCCGGGGCAACCTGATCTAGCTGTGCATGTCTCTGTGCACTGCGGGGGAGCTGGACTGGATGGCCTTTAGAGATCCCTTTCAACCCTAAGGATTCTATGACTCTACTTCAAGAAAATGGTGTGTATTATGAAAGCCCTTCCCAGGGCACTGCAGGTGACAGGCACTCCATCCCATTCTCCTCTGGGTGTCTCAAGATGAGCAGACATCAACAGCAAAGAGAACAAAGACCCTGTATCAAATGATCAAGGATACATCCACAACTCAAATCAACATCAGTGCTGTGCTGCTGTCACAGCCATACTATTAACTCTTCCCTTACACCAGCTGAAGGTCCCATGGCCTGCTTTGCCTGGGCTTCCTGGGCTTATTTTACAGCTTGGAATTAATTTTGCATTACCATTTACCGAGTCTGTTGATTTAAACTTGGCTTGGCTACCTTGGCTACAGTGTGTAGAAGTTGCTGCTGATATCCCAAGTCAGACAAGGCTTTTTTCCTCTTCCCCTCTTGATAAGAAAAGTAACAGGAATGGTGACCTTAAGAGTAGTTAGTGTGGTTGGGACACAGGAACAATCTCAAAGTAGGTCAGCTGCAAATCTTGCAGCATACACACAAGAAAGAACAACTGCTTTTCTCACAGATATCTTTGTCCTCCAAACAGCAACTCTGACGGAGCAAGAGACATCTCAGGGTCACCCAGAGCAGATGCATAGCTCAGCCTGATACTCTTGCATTCTCACCAGTGAAATCTTCGCAGAATTCCTAGCCATCCTCTTCTTCATCTCCCATCTGGCAAATACTGTTTTGAGAGGAAACAAACTGACCCTGGTAACCAGACCTTCTGCAACGTGCCATCTCTCAGGACTGATGTGGAAAGCTCTGTGTGCTCTGTAAATCAGAAGTCAATGGTCTCGCTGGGGCAGTATAGGGAAGCCAGCTGCCTTCATCAGGCTCTCAATCTCCTACAGCCAGGAATAACAGCACAACCATCTCTCCCGTGTTTCTCTTCCTGATTCTCCTCATTCCTCAGGCTTTACTAGAAGCAACCTTCTCTCTTAAGAAGTCAAGCTGTGGACATAAAAGCCATCTGAACTGACTCACATGAACAAGTCAGTGGTGAGGGATGCTTCCTGTTCTTGCCAAAAAGGTGAAACTTTCCACCCGGGGTTTCTGCAGAAGCAGCAGAGCAGTTCTGGTCAGCTGCCTCAACAGAACAAAGTAGGCTGTACCACCATGGGGATGTGAATGGTGACATCAAGGTCACAACCTCATAGCTCTGGAAAGAGACTCCAGCACAGGCACCATCTGATGTCAGCATGATAAAGTCTCCTTCTTTCATGCAAAGGTTGAAATGTTGCTTTTCCATGATTCATGTTTCACTAAGTAGGTAATTCAATTTCACCTGAGTGCCTAAAAACTCTCACGAAGTTCCACTGCATAATAATTTGCATTGATGTATATTACACTGTATTTGTAGACATACCTAACAGAAGGATGTACCACGTGATTGAAGAACAATGAGCAAATAAAACACAGGTAAAGGTGCTGATGGCTGAGGGACAACCAATACCACTTCCCAGAAAAGACTCAATCCCATCTCAAGCTTCCATGCAGATTATTCATGCCCCAGTCTGGTTATCATGAATCGATGGTATAGCTGTAGCTTATGGCATTGAGCAATTTTTCAAGAAGCTTTCAAACTGTCAGAATTGCCAGAGACGAAGCAGCATTTTAAACCTTTCCCTATCAAAAAATGCGTGCTGAACAAGTGAGAATACAAGTAGGGAAAATATTCACCTGCAGTATTTTTTGCCTTTCCAAACCAAACGTTTTATACTCATAGAGGCTGTCACAGCAACTTGTCTGTTTACAGTTAAATGACTGTCTTCAAAGTAAGTTCCATCCAATTTAATTTACTATTCCTACTCCCCAAACCAGGGGAGAGCTCTGCTTCTCAGCACAAACTGCTCAGTCCTTCAGAGAGGTACCTGCCATTCAGAACAGCCCAGCTGTCCTATTTCTCCTCCTGAAGCTGCTACAACCTTCTTGCCAACTATTTGATTGTGAGAGCTGCCTGCTCCATATTCTAGCTCCTCTAAAGAGACTCAGAGTGAAGTTTTTCACCTTTTAGAAGCAGGAGGAAGAAAATTTCCCACCTGTAGCTGCATCTATTCCCAGAGAATCTGAATCCTGGCTCAGAGCAGAAGGTCCCAAGATCTGCCTTCCAGAATGTTTTTCCTTATTTTTCACCTTAAAATGCTGAAAAACAAGGTTTGTTGACACATGTATTGCTGTAGGACTTCCTGAGAGAGGTTTAGTTCCATGTGGTCCCACGATCCAGTGCAACAGGGAGCTGCATGATTCCATTACTTTGGGAATGGATCAGAGTTGGAGGGATCAAACATACTGCTGAAAATCTTTTTTTTCACTTAAATAAGTTTTTTCTCTTCTCTGCTGTCACAGTTTCCCTTCCTTTAAAAAACGTAATTTGTATTTGAACATTTAATTAATATGACAAGACAGAAAACTCATCCAAGTCTATCAGGAAGAAACTAAGGTGAGGGGAAAAATCCCACATCACTGATGCTGAGGGCGAAGGCAGAGGGGATGCCAGGGGCCAACACGATATATCCCAATATATAATGACCTTACTGCAGCCTTGCCCAAAGAACAGTGCCTAGCTGCAAGAGAATTTTTGACAATACAGAGGGTGCTGCAAAGGCCGGACTGACGGCTGGGCACTGATCAGGGCAGGTTTTTGCATTATTGTACGCTTACACTCTGGAATGTACCTAAAGTTGCAAAGAGGTGACAGGCTCAAGCAGCTCTGCACATGTAGCTCATCAGCATCTGGCAAGATATGGCCTTGCCCAGAGACTTTCCTTCAAACAATGAGACAGCCTTATCATTTGTATTTCAGCTAAGCTGCCAACTTGCAGCCAAGGCCGAGCTTCCACACTCGGTAGGAGTTCAGACCGCATGAACAGGGACAACGCTTCCTGGCCCAAAATGTTCAACAGATAAGACAACGTGAAGCATGGGAAAAGGAAGGATTAGTAGCCTTATTTTAGAGACTGAGATTCAAAGCCAGAGAAAAGACTCGATGAAATTACAGAGAAAGATTCTTGAGAAGCAGGAATTGAATATTCAGTTCCAACTGTGAGCTTTAAATTTCAAGATTCACCTTCTTCCTCTAACAGCACTCCAGTAAAGCCCTTACAGGCTCAGCATGGGCTGCTATGCCAGATAATGTGCAAAGATGGAAAACAGGGATCTACTCACTGTTGTTCTTCTTCCTCTAAGTAGGCTCAAGTAGAAGAAAACATGCAAAGATGGCATAAGATTGCTCAGGCTGCATGCAGAACACCCAACTGTTTTCACTGGTCATTCAAAGGCAATGAGAGTGCCTGGGCAAGGCTCAAGGAGACAGAACAATACCTTCTGCTGCCTTGCAGAATAATTCATGTCTTAAATTATGTATATAATAAGTAGATGCTAAAACAGTCACAAAAATGCAGTGATTAACACTGTACTCCTGGCTACGAAGAACCAAACTATGTCAGGATTAACAGTGGTCAGCTTACATAGCTTTTGATGCTCTAACTCTGGTCTTGATATAATTCATGGAAGTGTCATATTGGATAACTCACTCCACAGCACAGCACAGAGTATTTATGTGCACTAAAGGTCCAAGCAAAATTACTGCCCCCCAGGCAAGCTATTGCAGGTACTGCTCCTTTCAAGAACAGCAATGCAATTGTGGTACCAAAAGGATAGCATAGAACTGGAAAAGATGCAGATAACAGCAAGAGAGATTATTAAAGATCAGAATGGATTCTGTGTATGACACAAGCTGGCACTTATCAGGCTGAAGAAGAAGATATGGTAGCAAAGAATATGGCAACACTCCAAAAGATCCTCACGGGCATGGACAGAATGGATAAGGAGCAACAGTCTCATCAAATAGAGACACCAAGGGAACCACTGGGAGCAGCACTCAGGATAGTGGGATGAAAACTGGAAATGAACTGTGGTGATAGGCCTCCAAATGAAGGGTGCACAACCAGAGGAAGTCCCTCTCCGGGAGCACTACAAATGCAAAAAATGTACAGGTATTCAAAGGAAAAACAAACCTTTTAATGGACAAGAGATCCAGGAAAAATCACTAAGCAAAAGACAGAGCTCAGAAGACACTAATCTACACATGACTGAAGGCTATGCCAAAGTCACACACATGCTTCTGTAAGCAGATCCTGTGGGCCACTACCAGAGACAGGAGCACCTGCTGCTCTGACCCAGCAAGGTGACTCCTCGTGCATCTGCACATACAAACTTCAGGGAAGAAGCACATCAATCGTGGGTCTGACACAGCCCTGGTACACACACATGTGCACACATACATCTATACATACATCAGGTAAAAGTCTGCTTCCAGCAGCCACAGGGACACTGAGTTTGCACGTCCTCCACGTGGCTCTTTCTGATAACAGCTGACATTGATCATGCTTGTGTCCAAGCATGGTGCTGCAGAGCTGCACCCAGCCCAGCAGCACTCACCTTGCACAGGGAACCACAAGTTCATTGAAAGAGAGACTGAAATATGCAGACAGACACAATAAGAAGTGGGAGAGCATCTAGGTGTTTAGCAGCACTCAGACATCTGGGTATCTTGGTTAAATAACCTTGATTAAAGGTGGCAGTCAAGAAATCCTAACAAATTAATTTTCTCATCCTTATTGCAAACTGGCAACTGCAAAGACAAAAAAGGCAGAAAAACAAAGTGTGCTATGAATGAAGCAAGTTTGGAGTCCCCACCTCTCTGAAGAGTGCACCATAAAACTGAACAATATATGGGCAGTCACTGCTTCGCATTACTACATCAAGGTCCATCAGAAGCTGCTTCTGTTCTTTTTCATCCACTGTCGACCGAATTCTCTGAAAGAGGAAGAGTGGCAGAGACTTTATCACTTATATGCCATTACTGAATCTTCAAAACCACCACTGGAGAAACATGTCAGGGACCCCAAACCCAAGGCTGAGCAGGCAGTCCCCAAAGCATGCTCTGGAAAATTGAACTGCAATAACTGAGCGACATTGTCAAACAAGAATTTTAACTGATAACCCCAAAAGTAGTTAAATTCAGACTGTAATATACTCAATTAAGTTTTACTATCATTAAGCATCATCATTTTCAGATGAAACGGCAGAATGAAATCGAAGAGCAGAAATTTCACTGAAACCTACAGTGAAACAATACCTTCAGGCTTTTATTTCAAAACAAATACCCACAGAGTTCTTAGCAATATTGGATGGGGCTCAAAGACCAATTTGAAATTTAACTAAGGAACACTGTGTTTCAAATCAATAAGAAAAGCAAAGAAGACAAAACGATTTTCTCCACCACAGCTGACTCTGAAAATGGCCCATCAGGTAATCGAGGAAACACATTTCTCTGGAAACCCTAATGGTGAGCAACAGTCTTTCTCATAAAACTAACAATAGCTGGCTGAGGTAACATCCTTGGCCAAGGTAACATTAAGATATAATGTACAAAATATAGACATACTATATGTTTGAAACATATATATATATATACACACATACTACTCTTCATACTGTACATAAGGAAATCTATGACTTGAGTGGGAAAGAACAATGCAAGTTTGAAAACAGAAGATAGCACACTTCCAAACACGAAGCTCATTAAATGAAGATGGAGTGGACCATCCAAAGATTTTCATGTAACTTTTGCAAACACATTTAGCAATTTGCACTAATTAATGCATTCCCTGAAATGTGAGGAAAATCATGACCCTGAAGAAGTCACATTGAGAAATAACTTAAAAAAAAAAAAAAGAACAAATAATTGTCAAGAAGCCCAAAGCAACAGAAGTAGCCTAGGCACTCCTTGAGGACAATAACCACTTGGCACCTAGGAAAGAAAAAATATTCAAGGTTCTTGGACAAACCTGTGTGATACCAGCACCAAGTCCTACCAGCACTGCTGGGCAGAGCTCCCTGCCCTGCAAACAAATGCTGGTGGCAGCAAGACCACACATGTGACAAGCACAGGGCTAAGAATGTGAAGGTACAATCAAGGTTGGCTGTTCATATCACATCGTTTAAGAAACAGTGCATGATTTTTACTTTTACTTTTACTTTTTTAAAAGTACCTTTTACTTTTACTTTTTTAAAAGTACCTTTACTTTTTTGTGTTGAGTCACAAAAAGTGAGGACCATGTTGACACTACAGTTTTCCTTACCTTTGGTGCATCCTGATATTGTTATTTCACCATTCATTCTTTATGTTCTAGTTTGGCCTACTAGACCTAACAACCAGTCATTGTTGTGCTCATGCTGTCCTTTTCCCTCCCGGTGGGTTCTAGAGTACTAGGGAAAAATTGTCCAGCACATCCACACACCTTGCATAGCCACCGAGTGGGTGATGCTTTGTAGAGCAAGAAGGTGGCTGAGGGGACTAGCAATGAACTAAACCACTTCACCTCTAGGTCACTGGTTCAAATCTGTTTTGCAGAAGTTCAGTGCCATCACTGAAGAAAGCCACATAAAGTCACATAAAGCTCTACAACCCCGTGCTGGGACACCAAAGGCTAAGCAGAATGAATGTCTCTTTCTAGATGGCATCAGCACTGCATGAAATGATAATGACATTGCTCTGACCCTTGACTGAAGATGACAGATGGCAAAGCCACTGTGGTGGGATGTCTGAGGGACAGTGTAGATACTTCTCTGAAAAGTTCACAAAAAAGGTGAGGAGCAAATACAAGAAGAATCTTTTCTCTATACTGTATACTGTGACTCATAGCTCTCTTCCATGCCAACTCTGTATCTCCCAGCCCCCCACAAGCCTTTCTCATGGTGATCCACAAATCTTCTTAGCTTCCCTCTGCATCACTCTCACATTTGCACAGTCCAGCCTTCCTTGCAGCATGCTTCTCAAATTCTACTTCACCTGAAAGCATCTCATCCCACCTCTGATATTTCCTTTTCTGCTCTTACTTCTTCATCTCTGGAAAGCATATAAGGTATGTTGTATAGAGGAGGTGATTTTAATGGCACCTTGGAACAAAACCAAATCCTAACACTGCTCCTTTTGCCAACCACAATCTCCCCTGGGAGAAAGAGCAAGAGCAAGTAAAGGACCCAGAGGATGGACTGTCAGTCAGTTATACTGCAGAGCATCCATGCAGATGCAGCACCCAAAGGACAACTTCAGAAGCCAGCATGAACTCCTGAGCAAACATCGCTTCAGGGTCCAAAGACTGCTGGGGACTTGGGGTTTGAAAATTCAAGATGAGGGCAAAACAATCAGAGGCAATGTGCAGCACAGCACGGAGCAGGGGCAGCCCAGGCTGGAGAAGACAGCTTTGTTTAGCTGGAGAGTCTGTTGCATGCCAGCAGTCTCAATTCACCAGCTAAGGAACAGGCATTCAGCAGCAAAAGAAGGTAGAGAAAGCAAAAGGTAATCAAAGTCAACAGCAGCCATTATTCAAATAGCACATGAGCTGTAATGAAGACCCACTATCTAACTCTATGGCAAGACACTGCAGCTGTTCCCACAGACAGACAGGATGTGGGAAATGGCAGGAAAGGAAGACACAAAGCAAGGCAACAGTCTGGTGACACCATTTAATGGGACGGACAGGTCTCACTTGTCTTCAGGTCCTACACATCTTAGCCTGGTTACTCTACTGCATGCAGGTGCTGCTATGGCCAAACAAGCTACATTAAGAAGGGTTTTTATTTTACCAGGTAGAGGAAGTCTCATTTTTAACAGTTCCTTGTTGGCCTCAAACTGCAACAAAGCCTTCAGAAGTACATTCTTCAGCCCATTTAGTACAAACCCAGGTTAGGATGCAGCCTTCTAACATCAGAAACGAGGGCTCTGAAAGTTGTGCTCTGGACAGCATCAGCAGCAAAATGCTAAGCTATGCTCTGTGGATTGGATCACTTGAACCTAAAACCAGGCAAATTCCACAAAGCAGACCCGAAACAGAAGAGACATCACCAAGCCTCAGTACACACAAGAAAAGATTCAGGTGCAGTGGGTAGCAACCAGTTGAGAAAGAGGAAAGAGAATAACGAAAAAGGGGAAAGGTAAAGAGTAAAAGAAGAAAAGGAAGAGAAAAGCCATTGGCATGAAACTGAAAACCTGCTTCTTGAGCTAGGAGGAAAAACAGCACTGTTCTGCACACAGGGCTCAGCAGAAAGCCCAGCAGTGGTGCCTGACAGCGCCCCAGTGGGCTGTGTTACCTGCAGGGTGACAGGAACAGAGGGCTGGAAGGGGGTTTTGCACACTTGCTGCTGAGGACAAGAACATTCACCTACCCATCCATAACACTTTTAGCCCTGAAAAAAGCACGTCAGGTCTTCCACTGATCGCAACTAGCCTCTGTCTCCTCTAATAAGATTCAGTCTCTCACCATTTCCTTTTAATTCATCACTCACTACTTCCTCTGTATCTTATCAGCAGGGTTTGGAACAGCCTTCCCTTACTCTCAGCCAACTACCCAAACAGATGAGTGAAACACAAAATCCTCCTCAATAAATTCTAAGATAAGTAGTCAGCTTCAGGGACTGTATCTAATTGTGCCAAGAATGGAAATGTATACCACAAAGCCAGCTCGCAAAAATCCTAATGCTCCTCTTCCAAAATCATATGGGAAACAGGAAGGTCAGAGAAACATGCCCTTTGGTTGAACTTAATCCACTTGTGTGTCATCTTAGAGGGCTATCAGACATCCAGGAAATGATGGATAAATTACAGAGGTATAAATAAATGTTTAACTTCTGCTCTCAAGGACATCTGATACTCAACAACCTTTTTCAACTGTGGGACTGCCTTCAGTGAAAATCCGTGAAAGTCAAGACTTAAACACCTGTTTTAAAGCAATGGGTAAGAGAGCAAGCACTGATTACAGTGCAAAATGGTGTGAAAGAGGCACTGTGTTCTGAAGCAGGAACGGCTCCACAGCTTACTGACTTCTCCTGGAAGAACAAAGATCTTTTACAGGCATTTTATAGGCTTGACATCCTATGCATTTCCAAACAGTGCCTCAGCCAGCTTCTCCGATTACCCAGCTGATCTTAGAATTGCTCCTGAATTTCTTAAGACAAGTGCAGAAGAAGTGGAAGGCCGCCTGTAGACTGGTCAAAACTATTGCTAGACTACACAGAAGGCAGAAAACCAACAAAATCTGAACATGTTGGCTAGAAGTGGAAACTAAACTAGATAATATTGCAGAGAAAGACTGAATCAGTTAGATTGATTTATACTGCAGAAAGATACTGCAAGATACAGAAAATTCTGGTACATAGCTGAAAATCACTGCCTCTTCTGGAGAGCAGGAAAACTTGGAGGACTGCAGACAAAAATGCCCCCTCTGCAGTTTGCTCACTCCCTAGGTGTATTTCTGATGGAAAAACCACAAGAGGAGCAAAACTTGTCCATGGGGCCCTGAGAAGAAGCCTGAACACCAACTGAAGCACAAACCATTTGACCAGGCTCTTGACAGCACATTTTTCAGCCAGTTTAAAACAAGAGAACCAGAAGAGGAATAAACTGTTAGAAGCTTCTAGCACTGAAACCAAAACGCCCAGCTGCAACTGGAGAGCCATGGTTCAGGAGGCTGGAGGGGAGTGCAGGGGCCTGAGCTGTGCCTTCCCATTGCTGCTGTGCTTGGGCTCCAGGCTGGCACAAGCACCGCTTCACAGGTTGAAGGTTGGCTATGTCAAATATTTGATTATTTACCTTGGGAACATTTCAAGCAAGAAATCCTCCTAGCCTTCAGAATTCTGGTTAATAAAACCCACGCTACGTATTATCTGTGCTATTTAAGGCATAAGCGGAGCATCATGCTCTAACAGTGAGAATAGTTCCTAGCATTCATTCAGACTGGGGGGACGTTTCATTTATATATTTTCATATCAATCTGGGAAAACAAGGATATTTTAACATCTCGTTTTGATCACCTATCTTAAAGGGAAACCTCAGGACAGAAATAACCCTCAGCTGCTTGGTGAGCCTACCAAGGAAACCACTTCACCCTAATAAAATGGGACTTTGATCTGTCAAAGACAGTCTGGCTCTTTGGCTGTGTGGTATCCTCATGAAACAAGATGCACAGCCCCCCAGAGCAGCTATGACAACAACATATGGTGATACTGGAGGGCAGGTACCAAAGGGGCTGGGGCAGCATGTGTTGTGAAGCCTCCGCAATAAGATGAGGAATGACAGAGTGCAGCAGATCCCAGGAAGGGACCAGAGCTCCCTGCAGAGAGATTGTTCACAAGTGACTTACAGACTGACACAGAGTGAACAAGAACAGAAGAATAAACAAGAAACCAGAAACAAAGTGAAAGGACGATAGGTGAAACTTGGAAGCTGGACAAGACAGTATCACAGAGAACTGATGCTGGTGCCGCAGGCAAATGTGGGCCAGGGCAGGTACTGCCTTCAAGGAAAAGAAGGACTCCAGAAGAGAAACCTGCTCAGGAGGTACAGAGTTAATGTACAAACTGGCTTTGCGGTGGTGAATTTGCACAGAGTTGGCAATGGACAAAAATGGGCTGTTTTCTTTCCCATAAGGGAGAGCCTTGACCCCATATGCAAATAAATTCTCAGGAAAATTAATGGGGATTTTTTGAGTGAGAAGAAGATCGCAGTGCCCACTGACTGAGTGAACAGGCACTTGGAATCTGTAGGAAGACCTGTGAGATAAACGGGATTTAAGGAACAAGAGGATTCTTCTTTCAATCTCGCAAAAATTGAATATTTTTCATAGAGAAAAATGAAAAAATGTTCCATACAAATCCTCTGAGTCCAATTCCTCTTTCTTTTACCACCTCTCCTTCCTGATGTGCCTGGGAAGAGGCTTTCAATGGGATGACCAGGGGATGCAAAAGCTACACCGCAAATCCTGCAACTGCCTGCCTGTAGGCAAGAGCACAGCTCCCAGCCTTCTGCAGCCACGTCCTGCTGCTCTGGCCTGCCCTGCAGAGACACGTCACATCTTCCTGTTATTTAACTACTTATTTCTAAGGGCACAGCAGGACAAAAACTGAAGGAGAGGGAGGAGTAGAACTGGGCACAATAATTTATCATCAAAGCCTCTCCCTCCAACAGCCCAAAGCTTCACACCAGTGACATAAAGGGGTGTACTTTCCTCCTCCACTGCTGATGCTGAAGTACCGGATGAAAGCTTTCAGTCTTGCCCAAGGGCCTGACAGTCACAGGATGCCCTCATTAGAGGTCCCAGGTCATCTGCCAAGATCCAGACATGGGCTGATCAAGCCAAACTGCCTACAAGGAGAAAATGAAGAGAAACTGTGCTTTCACCTGCACATCTCAAGTTGTTTTGGTGTTATTTCAGCATGCACAGGAGTGGAGACTACTGTGGTAAGAAGTGGAGACAGGAGAGACAGACCCTGAGCTTTGCCTGGGAACCTCAGGAGCAGAGCAGAACGCATGCTGCAGGGAAAACACAGGGCACCATGCAGAGAGAAAGCAGAAGGTGAATGTAAACAATGCCTGAAGGAACCAAAGATTGCAAAGTGTCATGAAAGTGGCATGACAGGGTAGGAAAAGCCAGAAGAAGGAAGTGGAAACAATCTGAGGTTTGACATAGCAGCTGTGTTTCCTCAAGTCTGAGAGGTGTGCAGGATGAGTGCTCAAAGCTGCCAGGCTGCTGGGTGCAGCAGGAGCTGGAAATTACAACATGGGAAAAGAGCAACTCTTCATCTGTTCATTACTATGTAACTGCAGCACGCCTGTGGAACAAGCAGGATTTGAACCTGTCTGCAGAAGGGACTGACAAGCCGCATGCCGATGCAGCCTGGAGATGGTAACTGCAAATAGGACTTGATCCTGCCAGAAGAAAGTGGGGTGGAAGATAACTGATCGCTCCAGAATCCTGTCATGGGTAGTGGTGGAAGGGGATGAAGGAGATACTCTGCATCCAACTAGCAGATTCTGAGTAGTTTCACTCATCACTACAGAACAGACAACAACTTCTGGCTTGCAGCCTCCAAAACCTATTTTCTCCTGCTGAACGCCCTTCCAAAGGATCTGTCTGTTGCCCTGGTGTTGCTGTAATCAGCTCTTAGGGAAGCACTGGACAGGAACAGCAGCACCACCAAATAATCAGATACACTGGTTTTGAAATTCAATGTCCTCAAGGCCAGGCACAACACACAGTGCCACAAGACTGAACTGCAAGCAGATGTGACTTAGATCATAGCTAGAACCTCAGATCACTAGACTGACAGGGTTTCCTCTCAACCATTCATTTTCTATGCTTTTTCTCTTAGGATAGTTTCAATTTGAAGGAGAATGTATCAAGTTAAATTCCTGCCTGTATAGCAAGGAGAAACTACAGTGAGCAACTTGTTTACCGGGAGGCAGGTGAGCACCTGGGGCTTCAGAAGGCAACAGCTTTATAAGCCAGAAGGACACCACAGGCTTGGGGGAAACAGAGAGAACAGGAGATGGATGGCCCCAAACACAGACGGACCGTAAACCAGACCAGAACAAAGCAGGTTACTGCACAACACAGACTGCCCCCAAAGCAGCAGCAATTTGAGAGAAGCTAAGTGCTTTGGAATGAACCAGTAGGTAGTCTGGAATCAGCTCTATCCTGAAACCTCACCTGAAACTGCACCAACCAGCTTCGAAATAGCTCTTTCTGCAGCAGATGTCACATACTGTTCCACTCATACATTTTCCTTTGCTCAGTCACATTTTATCATCATTGGCAGTGCAGAACAGCCCTCACTCCTAACGTTTTAGAAACAGATATTGCTGCCCAGAGCCTCCAACTTCCCTTTTCCCTTCAGTGAGGAAAAGTGCAGTAGGCACAGCTGTGCCCTACAGGGGTGTGCTCAGAGAAAAGAAACTGGCACCAACCCAGCCTGCAATTCTGACATTTCAAAATTCAGAGACTGTAAAATTAGGGGAGTTTATTTGCTTAATGCTGAGCCATCATGCCCAGCACCCGCAGAGGTTGCACATGCCTCTCTTCCCTCAGCAAAGATAGCTCAATAAGATACGCAATGTCATCTCCAACAGTGGGCAAGAGCACTGTTGGAGCTTTGCACCTTGCAGGTGGGAGCTGTACCTGCACTGCAGCCCCTCTACACTGACAACACTTTGCTACCATCCAGAAAATCCCTTTGCAAACATAGTCTGGGACAAGAGAATTTCTGTGCTAGCAAACACGCCTCTTTCTTAGTGACACTAGCCAGCCCAACAAAGCACTCATTGCAGCAGAGCTGTACCCACTGCAGAGCTCTGTCACAAACCCACTTGGCCATAGGCAGAGCTTTTTTCAGACCCACAGCCACCATGACTGCAAAACCTGTTGCCTAGGAACACGTACTGTGAGCATGGGAGGCTCAAGGCGCGCAGGCATCATCTCACCACATCAGCAGTTTTCAACCTATCATCTGCAAACTCCACCTAACAGTTCCACCAAAAGCAACTAAAAGAACCAGGTCTTTAGCTACGAGCAGCCTCCAGCTCCACTGATGACTTTGAGGGATTAAAAAAAAACACAATTAAACATCCATATCACTGCAATCTCTCCCAAAAATCTCTGAGGCCCAGCCAATGATCCCACCCCTACGAGGATGTCAACATTCACAGGAGAAAGTAAAGGGCTGCTGGTTACTCCAGTGGCCTGATACATTTCAGATGAGTATGAATTATATTTGTAGCAGCTAGAGCTGGGGCTGCTGTGTGCCTACATGCCACATCAGGCCAGCAGCAGCAAACATTTCCAGATCAGTTCAGAGAAAAGACCAAGAAGACAGAGAGAGCCAAAAAAGAGAGTGACACAACTTCTACACAGTTCAAAGCTCTCTTCTACTCTTTCACATGAGCCATGGGAGCACTTACAGTTAATATCATCAGCAAACTTAAAAGACTGATGTCATTAGCTACTAGCTAGCAGCAAGCAAAGTAAAGGGTATGGAAGAAAGAGAATGGCTGCTGTCCACCAAGCCCAGCTCACTGGACGAGCAGCTCCTCAGAAATGCCTGGTGAGAAGCACTGCTACAGCAAAACAAGAACTACTCCGCATCGCTCAGCTGGGAAATGAGGCTGCATATTGTTCATGCTCTAAGGTGAGATTTTGGGAAGCACAAGGTAGAAAATGGGCAGTCCTGCAATCCACAACACCTTCCATCTCCTCAGCAGATCCAGCAAGGTAAGCAGAAAGCAAATACGCACCATCACGTATCAGCAAGAGCAAACCACTCCCTGGCAGATCCCATTCCAGCTCCTCGTGGGGAGGTGGTTCATTGCTACACCACGGGCACATGCTTACATAAAAAGCAAATCTCACATCGCTGCCTTATTTCACAAAAGACACGAAGAAGCTGCCAGACATCAGCTTGTGCCTACAACCAACCTCGGCTGTATCTGAACCAGTGACCCAGAGGTGAAAGGCCAGTGCCCCATTACCAGTCTCCAGAAACATGTGATCCTCTCAAAACATTAAGTTCCTGATAGGCATTTTCAAAAGGGCACAAGCAATTACAAGAGTGTCACAAATCACTTGACAACATGCCTGTTATACAACGCATTTTCAGCAAAAAGCAGCCTTTATATTGGAAAGAAAAGAAAAGAGCAGTAGATGGGTTGTCGATGGAAGAACATTAATTCTCCATCACATTTCACCCCTAATGGACTGAAGTACAAACGTAAGGATGGGCATCACCTACTTTAACTGCCATAATTTGCCCACTTGGTTTGTGGACCATTTTGTTGACAGAACCATAAGCGCCTCGTCCAATTTCTCCAAGGTCTTTCAAGTCCTCTGCTGTAAAATCCCAATGCTGTTCAGGGGAAATCTTCAATTTTCCTGATGATTCAATGCTGTGTGTTCTCAGTCTCTCTCTGTCAAAAATATTGGGAAGCAATTTTTCCACATTTTAAATAGTCTGTAAATGTCTCTTTTCATCACTTGATCAAACATTAGAAGAGGGGTTCACAAAGTCTACAGCAATAATCTGACTCCAGGAAGGATTCTGGTTGGGGTGGAGGGTACAGGGGTGAGGGAAGATGTTACATCAAAAATGACATACATTTGCTCACAGCTTCAATTAATGATAAGTTTCTCCAGCTGTGGCATAAAATTCAGCATGTCTCATATATTAGAGTCATTCTAATCACTCATTTACACAGTTCTTTCTGCTCCGCATAAAATACATCAGGCTTAAAGCAGGATCTGGTAACATGCAGAATCAAGAGTCTGAAGAGCACTCCCCATCCCCAGCTCCCCAAGCTTCTGCTGCTGTATACCATTATGCTCCAGTCTCACTTTTAATTGGGCTTCTATTCAACATGAGCAAGATCTTTCATTTGTACAAGGGGACTTCAGAGCGTTTGCTCTTAATGGAAAACTGCAATTAATTTTTAAAGCATTTTAGGCAATCGTTTAATTTATTAATAAAAACAAAAACAAACAAACAAAAAAAAAACAAATGAAGAGCCAATAACTTGTATCTATAAAAAGCAATGCAAGCTGTTTGTGACACACAGAAAAAAAAGTGCCTTCAAGCACTTCTTCAAGCAGAATGCTGCCCCAGGTATATAGGATGTGGGAGTTCAACAGTTGTTCTGAGATGCCTAAAATTACTCATTCAAATGTGGCAAAATTCCTACTGAATTAGTAGGAAATGCACAAGTATTTTCAACACTGTTCACCTTAAAATGCCATGCAAAATTTCAGGTTTTTATTAATTAACAAAATGAATCATGTATCTTTGGTCACAACGTGTGTCAAAAATCTGAGCTTCCTACTTTAATGCAGCATTAAGAGCATTAAGGATAGTTCTCACTGCAGGGCACACTGACCCCACACAGATATTTGAGCCAACAGGTGTTTTTGGCCACCCGTGTAAATAAGGGAGGTTCTGTCAAACCCATCCCTTGCACTCTGATCACTTCTCTTGGGCATTTGATGAAGCAGCCACACGCTCGCCCAGGCTGCGGCCGAACATGAAGCAGCTGACCAAATGCATAAAGCTTATCAAGTTTATCAGCCTGGGGAATAAGGACGTTACCGCCAACTCCAGGCGTGATGAACACCACGGAGCACGTGTCACCAGCAGCTGTGAGCAGCGCCCAGCAGGAAGTGCTGGTGGCCCCATCCTGTCCTGGGTTTTATTTGGAACCCGGCTTTTGTGAGAGCAGTGAGGTCAGGCCCAAAGGTTGACCTGCCGGTGCAACCAAGGTTCAAACGGTTCATCTGCTGCACTCCAGCTTCCCTGCAACACAAGCTTAGCACTTTCCGGGCTTTGGAGCAGCTGCGTTTCCTGAACCTTTGACCTGTTCAATGAACGTTGCCACCAAATAGCCCCTCTTTCCATTCTAAGTGTCTCTCCTACTCATTCCCCTTCTCTAACTGGAGATTTTCAATCTGCCGTTCCCTATGGAGTCCTTCAGCATTGCTGTCCTTCAGAATAACCCTGCAGCACACACTGAGGTGTGCAGCCCAGAGGGGACGAGCACAGCAGCACCCCTCCCTTAGCACTACTATGCGTTCAATCCCTCAGAATAAAACACTGCACTGAGTGGCATTCTCTCTGAAATTTACTTACTGAAGAGCAAGGAATGAAAGTGAGGCAGTAAAGGAACAAGAAAAGAAAAGAAGAAAATATAGAAGAATAAAAAAAGGGAAGAAACATGACCTCCAGCCCTGCCCGCTGTCTCGCAGACAGCCTACACTGCATCAGCCAGCTGCCCCCTGACTTCTGCACTGCTCCTTGCTGTCAGCAGCACAGGAATGACTGGCTGTGTAAGGATGCAGTGTAAGGATGCAGCAATTCCTGCTCACAGAGCTAAACGCTGCTGGGGCAGGATGGGGAACGAGGGGTTTCCAGGTGTGTGGAATGCGAGATGCGATTTCCCAAGCAAGCCCTCTCCATCTCATTTTGAAACAACACTGCCTATTTAAGTTCTCAGAAAGTTAAAGAAAAAAAAATATTGACGTGGTGCATCCTGGAAAAGCAGTTAAACCTCTCTCCAATCTGACCTCTCCCTGTTTTTCCACCTTGGAAACTTTGCCTTTCTTACCCAACGTCAGAAGAAAACTCAAATCTGGAGCCCGTATCTTCCTGTCACACAGGAGGCCCATCTCTCCCCAGCTGCAATGTCACAGCAGAGCTGTGCTGCTGTTGTGCAGCTGCGGGATGTCTGTCCCCAGCAGCAGGGAGGAAGGTGGGCACAAGGAAATACCCCTCGGGTCTATACTGAGTGTCCCTGCAGCTGTGTTCTGGCGAAGATGCACAGCTTTGGGGAACCTCAGCATTTAACATGAGACATACTGGCACTGTCCACGCACCAAATCTCGTATGTATTGCTTGGCTTTATTTCCATTATGTCTTTATGAGGCCATCTGCCTTGCGGTGCAATCAGACTTTTTGCCTTTTTAAATTTCTCTTCTGAAAAATACCCAGGGAAATGATCAAATAACCAAACAACAAGCTTGACTGAGTGACAGACATTATAATATAGATTTTGCTCATTTAGATAATTTGTCAAATGTAAACAATGCAGTTTTCCTTTAAGCAGCACAGCCTAACTTAAGAGTCAATAACTTATATGCAATGATTACCTTTAGCATCAAAAGATTATGGCTGTTTATAACAGAAAACTTTTGCTGTAAATAAAAAAAATAATAACTCAGTACTTCCACATAAACAGCTCAAAAATACAAATCTGGGAGTTGGACACTGCACTGACGTAAAACAGGAATTTTCTGGTGTAAAAGTGATTGAAGCAACAAGAATAAAAAAGTCACCAATGCAGTACATATTACTGGATCTGCACTGCTGCAAGATACAGGCATACATAAACCCATAGGACTGACATGCTCCAAAAGTAATAAGAAAAAACCTGCCTAAATCCTGAGCTTGGAAACAGAGGAAACCAGACAGAGCAGTGCCTAGCAAAGGCGAGAAGTAATTAACAGGCAGTTCCTGCCTCTGCCTTCAGGCACTGTGCTCAGTGCTCATTACTTTGCACAGCTGTGAACAGACACAGGACTCCTCCCATTGCTTAATTTCTTCACACTGTGCAATCTGAACCTTGCTGAGGCTGGGAGTATTGGGCAGAGCTATGCAGACATTCTTTAAACGATCAGGATGCTGGACTCAGGGTGCTTCCTTTTATTGTTCAAACCACGCATGGAAAAGCTAGAGAAGATGGCTAGATTCATGTAATCTCCACAGAGCCAAAAGTCGGATTTGTGCCTGCACCTGAGAGACTAGAGCTCCTAGTGGCTTTTCCAGAGCTTGAGCTTCAAACTTTGCCTTACCTCTGGAAGTCTGAAAAGTAAGATATAAAGCAATCCTAGGCTCACAAGGTTGAGATTCCTGCACTTGATTGGCACCAATGTACGGGTCTCACTGCAGATGGTTACTATGCTTGTCACAGCAGTTATTCCAGGGATTAGGAACACCAAGCAAGACAACAACTCCTGCTAACAGTTGCCCTTTGTCAGAAATAAATCCGTTTGTGGGCCCAGCTTGGCAGCAGGCACGCAGACTGCTGGCGCCAGGCACCACAGCTGGGCCAAGGGCAGCATCACACGCTGGGGACGCGGCTCTGCACGCCATGGGCCAGATCCACGCAGGAAAGGTAGGGCCTGTGAGAGCCCCACACACCTCCCAGCAGAAGCACAGAGGTGCTGGGATGCTCTCACACAGGCTGTTAGTTCCCCAAGCCCTGCTATTTATTAGTATGTCACAGCAGGGATGCCAGTTTTTTTGTTTGTTTGTTTGTTTTAAAGCATGAAAAAGAAGGATTGTGGGGAGAAGCAGAGAAAGATTGGGTGATTTATTCGTTTTTAGTCAAATTTAAAAATTATCAGATATGAAGCAAGGCCAGAAAGATGCTACAGGTAGCCATATCTCCTCTGTAAGCTCTTCGCTTCACCTACCTAAAAGTTCTGTGGGATTCAGAGCAAACAAGCCAAAAAGTTGAAGGATTCAACATCACAGCTGAGATGAACGAAACAGATCTGCAGAGTCAGAGATCCTGACAAACCAGCTGTGCTTCAGAAGTCTGCTTAAGGAAGTACCTTTTTAAAACTTACACTTACTCATATTTCATGTTGGATATTAGAAAGAATTTCTTCTCAAAAAGAGCATTAATGCTTTAGAACTGGCTGCTCAGGGAAGCAGTGGTGTCACTGTCCCCAGAGTCGCTTAAGGGTAGGTGTGGTACTTAGGGATGTGGTTTAGTGTGCAATAGTGGTGGCAGGTGGACTGTTGGACTAAATGATCTTTAGAGGTCTTTTCCAACCTTAAAGATTCTTTTGTGGCCATCAAGGTCAACTAGCTAAAAGCTTCTGTGCAGAGTGCAGAATTTCAATCATGCTACACACTGTTTTCAGTAAAAACGAGGCTTATGGCTTCAGATAAAACATCTCTGCTAAATCTTTCAAACAGCCCAGAGCTTGTGCACCTTCTGTCTAAGTATCTGTGCCATTCATAAAGCAGCTTTCAGACCCTACAGGCTAGAATTAATAAAACAGCTACCCTATTTCAAAGTTCATTGGAGAAAGTCTCTAAATGAAATGTTTTAGGTTTTTTTCAGGAAGACTGCAAACGCTGGAGCTCTAATTAATCTTCTGGACTCCCACAAGAAGAGATCTATCTTTGCAAGAAGCAAACTCATAGGCAATGGAGGTCCTTTCAAGAGGGGCAGAACAAACTGGTTCTGGTCTGACCCACGTACGCTGTCCTGAAGCTTAGTCCATGCAATAACAGATTCTTAGATGTGAAGAAGAAAGAGAGAAAATGTATCAAAGGAGGGAAATGATTTAGTTTTGCATCTCTGACCTACCCAGTTTAAAGCCAAAAGCACACTTGCTCACTTTCATGAAGTAGAAGAATTCGCACTTAGTGTTGCTCTGTCTTTCTCTGCTCCTGCAAAACTTCAAGACAAAAGATACAAATAAAGTTGGAAGATTCCTCAGCCTCTTTCACAGCCACTGAGACTCAGCCCAACACACATTCACATCTGCTACAGCAGGGTTTGGCTGAGCCTTGTAGAATGTTAATATTTTGTATTAAGCTCCCTCAGTAAACTACTGAGACACAGCAGATTTTGATTCACCCTGCCCTTAACAGAGAGGAAATCTCTCAATTCATCGTGGTAAAACCTGCAGGGAATTTGAGCGAGCACATTAATCTCAACTCCACTCTGACTGGGATATCAGACTGCCACACATCTGCTAACAGCTCCACAGCCGGGTTCTTAAAGCCTACACTGGATTTGAGCATTTCAGAATACTAGAAAACCTGAGCTAAAAAGAACAACCCTTCACAGAATGCCGACTCTTATTCTGAAAATTGACATCTCCTGAGCCTGTCAGCTGCCCGTGAGAGAACAGGAAACACAGACACGAGCACATCAGTGAGAATCACAGGAATCCAAACACATTTCTTAAATGGTTTGTAAAACAATACTGAGATGCAATATTATTAACATTACACGAAAATCAGCCGTGGAATGACACTATTTCTGAGACAATTTCCATTACTTTAATAGATGCCATTTTTGCAGGTATGGAAATATTTGACAATGGCTAACAGATAGTTAAGCTTACTGTAGCCTGCTGGAAAGTTTCTGGATGAGGTCCGCTTCTCTCCTTTTGAAACTGAACGGGACAATGTGATTACTACCCAGTGTTGCTTGTGTATCACTTCAGCCAGGAAACGTTGTGAAAATGACAGGAAAACATGGTGCTGTTATCACAAGACACAATAACGTATAACAGTACTCAACTAGTCAGACTACCTACAGAGTGGTTAGCACATACAATTAGTTAACTATTGGCTTTTCTTCCAGATTTCTCCTACACAATCTTCTCTCACTGGGAGCAATGAGATAGTGGAGGTATCTGGATGACTCAACCTGTATTTTAACACATTAAATTGTAAGCAGTCTGTTTTCTTAAAGCAATGTTGACTTCCAGTTATTATATCAATATGATTAAAAATATAAATAATTTCATTTGATTTACTACATGCTAGTGACACACTATGGCCTCAAGGCACATGAACCATCACTGCACTGCTTTTCTTGTCATCTCTAAAGCAGAACTCACTAAATAATGATAATTACAGTAATCTACTTTCCATCCTGGATCCACCAATCTAGGACTGGTGGTCACTCCCAAGTGGGCTCATCGTTCATCTTATCTCTGAATGAACAAGTTTGCATAACTTGAACAGCCGCATCCTTTCTTTTTAAAAGGTGCATAACTGACAGATCAACCCAAGGTTAATTACCACTCTTTGGTAGAATATTTGTCTAAGAACAAAAATCAGCTTATGGGACTTTGAGCCTCTTGACTTTCCAGCTTCTGGCATCTCACTGTCTGATATAAGGGCCTGGTATCTAGAATGGTTCAAGTAGCTCACACAAGACAGGCTCCTGCTAAACACTCTGTGGAGGACACAGAGAACAAGCATTCAAGTTCTTGCACAAATGAGTGTGCAGCTATCTACAAATGGTCAGCAAATCATACTTCAGTTCTATCCAGCCCCTTGTTGGTAACAGCTGAGAGCACCAGACAATGAGCACTGTCATTTCAGCCACATGGAACCTTTTAGTTTCAATTACAATTTTTCAAACAATTTTTCCAATTTAAACTTCCAAGTGTTATAAAGTCTCATCCTTAGTCTAGGAAAGCTAAAAGCCCTACTACTCTTTCTTCAAAAATTCTTTTCTATTGGGGATAGAAAGATTTGGGTGGAAAACCATGCCTTAACCTGAAACTCATTGCAACTCTGAAACAGTGTGCCTACCAGAACTTCTTTTTCTTTTTTCCTGTGGCAGACAAGGACAGATGGGAGACAAAGGCTTACCTAACTGCAAGTCAAAGATTGCTTTTTCAGAGAGATGCATCTGATAAGTTCTGTGACCAAAAGAGAGCTCACAACAAGACAAAATAGAGCGAATGTATCTGCATTTTCAACTAAGACACAGGACTCCTACATGTCAGTGTAGGCAGTAGTAGTCAGTGTAGTCAGTCTGTCAAAGGTCCCCACTCTCCGCAGACTAACAGTAATGTGAGATTTCAAAATCTGGCCTCCTCCAAATCGGCTGTGGGACAAGGCATTATCCATTGATTCCCAGGAGCCACAAGGCTATTTTCTGTAAGCTCTCTACGGATGTTCTCATTGACTTTGGCCAATGGTCCCACAGAATCTGTCTTTCACTAGTATGAAAGAACCACCTAGAACATCAGAGAGACCAAATAAACACAAGTGAATTCTAGAGAAGTATCCCAGCTCCTCAGAGAAGACAACCCACTTCACACAAGATGTTTGAGACAATCTGTTATGAGCACTTGTGTCTGCAAAGACATCAGCTATACTGGGCAGTAAGGGACAACCGCCATCCAGACTCTCTTTACAAAGAAGAGAACTAAGCTCAAAGACAGTTGAGGGCCACCACAATCGATGTCAGAAAGGCTTCCTGACGTTTCCCCACATGGAGAAGCTGTCCCAACCAGAGGCAAGAACATCCATCCAGGTAGTTCTTTTCAGAAGTCAGCTCCTCAAACAAATGGCAAAACCAGTCGAGGCCTACAGGCCGATCCCCTCTTCCATCACATCCATGATTCACAGTCAAGCTCTCTATACGAGTTCTACAAGTAGCTGCTCTCCTTGGGTGCACTCTGTTCGTTCCATCTGGACGTCCTTTGCGGTAATGTGCCGAAAGCCACTCATTTAATGCAAAAGATGAAAATATTAGCTGGTGATGATGAATTGTGAAGTTGAAGCAGTCTCCAAATCCGCAGACTCTACTCCCTTCATTCTCCATTTCTTAATGTTTCCATAAGACAGAAAGGATGACCAATTCCTTCGGTTTGAACCCACACAGCAGAAAACTCAGTTCACCTCCCAGTAGCCAGTAAAAATGCAAGATACTTTACAACAAAGTAGAGGTGGATGTCCAAAGAGATCAGGTACATTGGTCTTGCTCTGAAGAAATGCAACATAATCCTGAGTATGGAATGACATCAAACAGTTTATTTCTACAGTTTGCAAAAGCAACTGCTCAGTGGAGTTTCTTGCAAGGATATGCTTTGCAAGGTCCACATCTGGAAATGCAGGGGTCATGTCAAACTTTAAAACACAAATACGAATACCAACATTTTCTAGATAAAATCCCTTCTGCCGTTTGTCGCTGCCACACACACCAGAAAAAAAGAGCCTGCAACAGACCATCTTGCATTAAGCAGAGTCCAGCAGAGACAGGCGCTTAGGCTACATACATCATCAGTGTGATACAGCGGAGACCACTTGTACAAACACATTAAACTTGTATCAACATGAGCGATGTCCTACTTCGCTACCTGGT